AATATGATAAAAAGTAGTCAAGAGACTTTCTTTATCCTGAAACTGAAGTAATCTAGACTTGCCAAATATTATAGACTTGCATGGGCTGTATTGGACAGACTAGAGGACGCTGTGCAGCAGGAATATGCGACTGTAAGATAACATTCCTCCAATTAATCAAGGCAGTTGTTGTGTAGGAAGGAGGATGTTATGCAGTAGTATATATCAGATAACTATTTGACAAGCGGAGGAAGTTTAACGCTACTTTGAACAGGATTTCAGTTAAATCCGGGTATGTCAATTTGGTGAGGGAAGAAAGTCCAATGTGATGCAGGTCTCAGATGTTAACCACTTTACTAAAAACCCACGAGCACGGGTATGGTGCTGACAAGTTAGAAAATAATCGGAGCGAACGGGGATTCGAACCCACAATCATAGTGAGTGAGTGAGTGAGTGAGTGAGTGAGTTGGGTTTAACGCCGCTTTTAACAGTATTCCAGTTAAGTCCCATTTGTCAGCTTAACGTGGGAGAAAAGCCCCATGTCATGCAAGTGAAACTTTGGTGGAACACTTTGGTGAAATCCACGAGTACGGGTAAGGTGCTGACAAAACTAGAAATCAGGGCGAAACTGACTTCGAACCCAAGACCATAGGCGTCTGGCACGCCGCGGGACGCAACTCTTCTCTGAGAATATGCGGCGCCTTAGACGACTGGGGCATCAGTGCTAAATGAGTAAGGAAATTCAAAGCTTGCATGCTACAACCTTGGTGGCACTTACATATATATAAGACTACGTGTTTGTTTGAAGAACCAAGACCTAAGCCGAGATCGAATTCGGGTCCTTTGGATCTCCAACATCATCATCATCATCATCATCATCAACGAACTAACAAAACTATCTATGTTTTAAAGGGAGACGGTCGGTCGGTAGCCTAGTGGTTAAAGCATTCGCTCGTCACGCCGAAGATCCGGGCTCGATTCCTGACATGGGTACAAAGCCAATTTCTGGTGTTCAGCGCCGTGATATTGCTGGAATATTGCTAAAAGCGGCGTAAAACAATACTGACTTACTTAAAGGGAGACTATACTCAAACTGGCAGTTCCATCTAGTTTAATTCAACTGTATTTATGTATATCAGACAAGCAGTTTATGATTACCCCAACCACCAAGAGGCAATGTCGGAGTCGCACACTTAACACTTATTAGCACTAACGTCTTGATCGAGATAAAATGGGCTCCGGAGCTTTGAGATCACCCCCACGCCCTTAAACTGATACAGCGGGAACGAGTATTCCATTGTGCAGTTCATTAACAGCGGAAATAAATCTGACATTAGAAGTAATTCAAAAACTACTTCACAAATACCCATCTCACCTCATTATCGGCCGACAATGCAAAACCTTTTGGTATGTATGTTCTGAAGTAATGTTACAGTAGGGACAGGACTCCCCGCAGGCAAGTCGTTCTACCTCTTCGCAGACATTATGAAAACATCAGCAAGACAGTTTACCTGCCTGCTCGGCAACTCAAAGACAGACGGTTGAAGTTTTTGCCCCTTGATGTAGAACCTCCATCTTGACTATATAATCAAGTCATAACAAACGGTATCCGTTAAGAGAAAAGCGCGCGGCATTCTACAACCATGTTGTGTTTCAATACACGCTGATGTTTTTTCGTCGTAACAGACGCCGGCTGACATACATTGTGCCCCTGTGCGATCCCCACTTTCACGCCTTTATGAGCGGATTGCGGGGATAAATAAACAGGTTAAGAAAGAGATATGTTGCTTTGCTTTCTCCCTGTGTTGACCTTTCATAGGACCAAGGGGTTTTGTTATCTATCATCTAATTTGCCGCCCCGGGGCTGGGGATGACGCTTGAGCTTCCGAGAGTTTGCCGTCGGTTGTGGGTAAGGAATACAAATAAACGAAATTCGTATGCGTTTTGTCAAGTTACAATTCGTACATGCCACTTCGTTGGTATGTAAGAAAATATGACCATTCTTCAGAAGTAGGTATTAGAGTCGACTTGTTGTTTGGGTTCGAATCCCTACGTGGGGGAGCAGGTGAAACTCATTCTTTGTGGCCACACGGCAGTGGGGGGTTGGTATTTAACGCGGGCAAAACACGTCTCCTTCACATGCAATCACGTCATGTTTCCCTAGGAGGACGGCATCGTGGTCTTGTGGATAGAACGTCTGTTCGAGAGCGGAAGGGCGGCGGGTCGATCCCCGGGCACGTTAGTCCCAAAGACGTTAAATGATGGTATACTGGCTACCCTGTCTGACGCTCGGCGTTAATGGGACAAAACAAGGACTGGTTGTCTCGGAGTCAGTATATTGTGTCTGAGTTGGGTATTCATTTAAACTGCGGCATGGTTTCTCAGTTGGCTAGCACTATAAAACCGGCAACCAAGCACACGCAGCCACGCACACGCACTTGCAATCATATTGCTATTTAAGTGCACCTCTCAAGAAAGAGCGTACTAAGCTCCTCACAGCGAAATCCCGTTTGCGGAGCTATCTATACTATGTTACCGAAGCGTAAGGAAGGTGTCACGCGCTGGGTAGGAGCTTGAGATCGTATAAGGCAAGGGCAGGTAACCCTAATCACTGGCTTGCTATAAACAAAAATGTATCAGATCCTGCATTCGAACGGGGGGGGGGGGGGGGATTCAGAACTAGAACTCATGTGGGCAATCAACCCCGAGTCTTCGGTGTAACCAGCCACAGCCCTACCACAAAGCTCTCCCTAATCAAGCCGACATCGTACCAAATAGCTTACCCGATTATGGCAGATTATCGTGGATTCGAATCCCAGTTAGCCCTGATTATGTTTCTTGGTTTGTCAGCACCATATCCATGCTAGTGAACTTCAGCAAAGACCTGTATCACTTTCCTCCCACATCACGCTGACACGCCGTGGTATAGATGAAATATTGTTCAAAGCAGCGTTAAACCAAACTTACTGTCATGAAGGAAGTTTCCGCTAGCCAAAAACACGAAATCCACTCTTGTTGTCAAGAGATGTTACTACAATACACAGTGATTACAGTCTAACCGCTATATTGTGTGCTTTACCAATATCACAGTAGTCGCCGCCAATATAGAGTGAGTGTGGTTTTACGCCGCTTTTAGCAATATTCCAGCAATATCACTGCGAGACACCAGAGATGGACTTCTCACATTGTACCCCTTTTGGGAATCAAACATGGGTCTTCGGCGTGACGAGCGAACGCTTTAACCACTAGGCTACCCCACCGCCCAATATACACAGAGCTGTACTCGCCCTGATTAACCTGTTTCAAATGTTAAACACACGTGACCGACATATATTTTTCCGTCCCATATAAAGCTGAGGTTCCGGGATATACCAATAATTATAATACTGTTCAGAGTTGCGTTAAACCCAACTCTCTCCCTCAAACACTCCCTCTGTTGTGAAGAAAGGTTAAACAGGCTGAACAACAATGTGTACATTGTAGTTTGTTATCCAACTCGAGGGTGTGTTTCAACGCTGATCCATCTGTGATTGGTGTAGGTGCTTATATGCAGTCAAAGAAAATCTCTATCTATAATCGAAACCCACGCTACCTGTTAACTTACTGATACTGAACATCAAAAGTAATTCTGTTATAACTATAATATAATTCTCAGCAGAAAATGATTTCTTAAATTCGTTTAAATTTTAACTTAAAAAGATATTCTTTAGAAAACTCAATTAAACACTGGACTCCTCTAAATTTTCAAAGACACAAGTGGTGTGGAAAAGCAATAAGGGAGTACATCCAATATATTTTGGGGGGTAGGGAGATTTTTTAAATGATTATTTTGTTCAGAAATGCGTAAAATTAGTAGTTTGTTGGCAGTGGTGAAAAAATGAATGGGTTGTTTTGTGGAAAATACCCAAATGTCACAAATTAGGTGTCAATGGTGAATAAAAACAGATTGTTTGATAGGGCTCATCACATAAATAGTTTGGCGGATATAGCATGGGAAAAAATAGATTTAAAAAACAAAAATGTTCCCCGTGCCGTCCACCCCATCCCGCCACCCATACAAGTGAAATGGGTGCTCCCTTAATAAGAATATGATCACTGTAACTTTGGGTTTTAAGTAGATGTTAATATGTTTAATACGAATGTTAGTACTTCAATCAGTATAAGATTCTAAATGCTTGGTGTTTTATGCCCCACGTGAAGCGTTAGTTACAAGAGACAGATGTCCTGCTTTAGCTATGAGGGGCGGTCGGGTAGCCTAGTGGTTAAAGCTTTCGCTCGTCACGCCGAAGACCCGGGCTCGATTCCCGTACAATGTGTGAAGCCCATTTCTGGTGTCCCCCGCCGTGATATTGCTGGAATATTGCTAAAAGCGGCGTAAAACCATATTCACTCACTCACTTTAGCTATGACGGTGTTGGTCTGTATACAGCAAGTGCCACTTACCATTGTCAATGCTCTGCCTAAGGGATTCCGGGGCACCATACGCCACAAAACCCAATACATGTCTCCCTGTGAGGAGACATGTGGTAGAATACGTCATGAATTGGAGCATGGGATAGAATAGGTCCACAGTACTTGTCATTACATTACTTGTCATTAAAGCCGACATAAATAAAAGAGTGAGTGAGTGAGTATGGCTTTACGCCGCTTTTAGCAATATTCCAGCAATGTCACGGCGGCGTTTGTTATAGAAGAAACAATACCGCTGCGTAAAACAATATTCATTCACTATGCCCTGTCCGGATTCCCAATCACTAGTCGGGGACAACCGGGGTACACCACTTCTGTGTCACTCGGAGGAAAGGTGCTGTAGGTTTTACTACAATGAAAGTAAATCTACATCAAACACTTCTCAATTATTCCGTGTGTTGATTGGGAAATCTGACAACATCGGAAATAAAACCCAATTCTTCACAACGTACCCTTTAAAAAAACACCTATCCAGGTAATTGGAATATAACGGTGGTTGCCAAATAAACCTTCCCTCTCGACTGTGTAACACGGTAGTGTTAAGAGCTGCGCTCGCGCTGTGTTCGGAGTAAGCCGTTAACTGTCCACTCGCTGCAGACGACAGGTGTGCTCGAATCACGTCTACCGTAGCAGACGATACAGGTGCCTGACTCGACTCAGGGGTGAGCAGACGAATACACTTCTCCGGAATATTATCGCTGCTTACTTCCGTACGCGGTACTACATCACAAACAGAAAGCACCCGTTTTCAAACGATAGAAGCAGACGGCATGTCAGGCGGTCAAGCGAGGATGAACTTTTTGGTGCAGGATAGAGTGCGCTATAGTAATCATGGAAATGAGAGTTGGGAATTCCCCCAGGGCAAGTAACACGGACGGGATTGTTTGAGTGAAGGTGTGGATGAGAGAAGGATAGTGCTGGATTCGTCAGAGGCTCACTGGTGTTGCGAGTATACAGGTTAAGTTGGAACACTTAAGGGTGCCGCTTATATCGCCTCCTTTGTGCGATCTGTTCTCATGATAAATTTCGTTTGTGTTTTTGAACTTTCATCATTGAAGGTGAGGTCTCGGTGATTCGCGAAAAGGATTTTTTATACAGTTGTGTTAGGAAACACGAAGTTCACCTTTTGAACCAAAAGATTTAACGCGAGTTTTGTTGAAAATTAATTGAATACCTTTACAACGAGTAATAGATACCTGGGAACACAAAAGGATTTGGAGGAAGAAAAGTTGTTCGTACGTTGAAAGAGCCTTATCAATTGTTGTGGTAATAGAATTTCCTAATTGAATTTTACCTGTGTGTATTTGTGGATTTCGGCGACAAAGGCTTAACGAGTACACTCGACCACACAGACCTTGTTTGTGTTCAGCATCCGGAATAGCACAGTACTGTGGTGAGCGACAAGACCTTTATTGACTTTATGAAAGGGTAATCGGAATTTATCCGTACAGAGATTATACTATTATACACGCTTAATATGAAGATATTGCATCTGCAGTTACAAAGCGAAAAGTGTAAATACTACATAATCACAAAGTGTTCTCGGTACATATGTTAAGGCAGACCCAGGATTTCCTGTGGCTTGCCTCGTGTTAGCGCTGTATCATTGGAGAAGAAAACAGAGCAAACGACCAGTCAGTATCTTGGAAATACTGGTTCATTCGCAGCCTAGTTGGAAACGTACGCTCTTAGAAGGATGAGGTTTGTCTGACACTTTTTGAAACTTTGGTAACCGAGTCATAAGTGACAAGCAGTTGTCTCGACCAATCAGTGTCGATCTTGGACAGATGTTCTCAGATATATGACTGCAAACACTTGACGACAAATACCAGAAACAGTTTCGAGGAAAACCTGAGGGATCTCCACATATAGTGACGTCATTGTCGTAGCAGACGACACTTGTGAAAATGTCGGAAAGATTCGGTTGGCACGACTACTTAGTGCTGACGTTGATGTTGGCGGTGTCGGCGGCGATAGGACTGTATCATGGCTGTCGGCGAGGGGGACAGAAGACAACGGACGAGTACCTGATGGGGGGCCGGGATATGCAGTTCCTTCCGGTCGCCTTCTCTGTCCTAGCCAGCTTCCTGTCCGCCATCACGGTGCTGGCGGTTCCTGTGGAGATTTATTTGTTTGGTGCTGCGTTCTGGGTGAACGCTTTGTCCTACTTTATCTCGGTGCCCATCACTGCACATGTGTTCATCCCACTCTTCCACAGACTCAAGCTCAGGAGCGTCTACGAGGTAATTGTTCAAATTTATATTTAAACAAATCAAGGTTGTGACCCTTAAAAAAGTTGTAAAACTTTTGAAACAGATCTCATTTTATGATAGCGAGAGTACAATAATGTATATCATACATACTATGTTTGTCTGTAAGAGATGACACATTTGCCTTTAGTCTAAGACTTCACATCTCGCTGGGCAGAGTTGCGTCCCTTAGTACTGTCATGATCCGCTGAACCGCCGAGATTCGAACCTCAGACTCACCCCATTTATGATCCATGGCCTGGCAACACTACATCCGAGCTCTTGGTTTTCACCAAATTGGTAAATGTCTTGCAGCAACCGTAGACTTTCATCACACATTAAGTGGCATCTTGTACCTTGGTGCTCCTGAAATATTGTTCAAAGCCGCGTTACCCACTCACTCACTCACTTATTGGCGCGAGTGCTTAATTATTTAAATATGTTAAAGATGTGATAGTGTTAGGTGCTACTACGATAGTTACATCTCAGTTAGCCATGGTGTGAATTTAGCAATGGAATGTAATCCGCAATCACCGTCCTGATGTAAATTCGTACTCCCATTGCAGATTTTTATTCATTATCATTGTCGAGTTCTGTTCGTTTTGTCCAGATGTGCTCAAATGAAGCATGTCTACTTTCATTAATTAAAACGGCTTATATATTTGCCGACATTATGTAAAAGCGTTATTAATTATAGACAAAGTTATATAAGTCAGTAAAAATGAAACATTTATTAATCAATGACACGAACAGCTAAACTTTGGTAGCCTCACATATCGCTTTAAGGAGTCTATAAAAAGCACGTGAGAAAAGCGCAGAGGTCACCATGAGGCCCGTCATGTGAGTAAGTAAAAAGTAGCTGACACATTAAGCGCGGGAATTTGTCAATACCAGCTCTTCACAAACTATCTAGTCCCCATAAGCCGTCGAGTTCTATATGCTTTTAATAATGTAAATATGCTTTAAACGACTTCAATAAAAGCAATTGTATTTGAATGTATACCGATGGCAAATATTGCCGTCACACGGCAGTGACGGGAACATGTATATATAATGTATAGTTTACCATGGATTGGTTCTCGGAGAAGGCCAGAGTCCAGGGCCATCGCGCACCTGTAACGTGCAACAGCTTTATGCGTAACATGGTTTTCTATAGCTCTGGGTAATAGGTAATGTTTTGCATAGGGAGCTATCCCTCGATCGCATTCACAGGGACAGAGCCACGTCAGGTCTGTTTCAGGAAGTAATATACTTTTGAGATAGATTTCAGTGATCTTTATTGACATTATATGGTTGACTCAACACATACTGAAAACTACATAAAGCGCAAAGGGTTGGTATACATGTACTTATGTGATACGGTGTTATTGGGGGATCAGTGTTAGAAAGTCACGCGGATTTGCAGTGGATAATTTACGACCGTGTGGCAATTACGACCTTTTTAGTAGGCCATGGACATTTGCTATAGCAATTATATCATGTTATGACCGCTATCTAAACAATAAAAAGAATCACAGCTTGTTGATTTTTTTTTTAACTTTCAACGACCGAACAGTTCACAAATATATAATAACTTGGAGTATCACGACAATTTGTTTTCCTTGAACAAATCTGTTAATGTTAAAAAAATAATAAGTGTCTTTTATAAGGGAAGTAACTCTTTGACCGGCTCTCATTCAGAGAACCTCGGCAACACCATTCGGGTCCCCTCGGTTTATTGCGATATCTTCATGATATCTCGGGGAGCAATGGAGTAGTAATATTTCATGATTTCACAGTAAACCACGTACCGATTGAAAATGCATATCACTCCGCATGTTGTTCATAAGAACGAGTTCGCAACTCTTAAAGAAAAGAAATCCGGGATGAAATTTGATACCGAGCAAAAACGTTTAAGGGTCAAAGCTGCCACCAGATTGTGTTATCGAATGTCATTGCCACATGCACAAGTGAAATCGGTTCCAACATGGATTTAATGCGGGTTGATCTGGGCCCACTTGCACAAAGCTATCTTAGCGCTAAGATGAGTGTAACTCCCATACTCTAACATAGGCTTACGATAGTCTTAGCGCTAAGATCGCTTTGTGCAAGTGGCCCCTGATCCTCTGAGATTGAGGTGAGCCTAGTGTCGGGGACTTGTGAATTCTTTACTTTTTACGTCCAATCCAGTTGATTTACGGAAACTTTGAACCCTGCAATCTCATTAAAAACAAATCTTTTACTCTGATTCTACGTCCATTCCACAAGATGTATCAAACCCGTAAAGATCCAGGTTAAAATAGGTCTTCAGCAACCCATGCTTGCCGTAAAAGGCGAATTTGCTTGTCTTCAGGGGTGGCTAACGGGATCGGCTGGTCAGGCTGGCTGACTTGGTTCATGCATGTAATCGTATCCCAATTGCGTAGGTCGATGCTCTTGATATCAATCACAGAATTGTCTTTTCCAGACTCTAGTATTTCCAGACCGCCGGGGCTGGTGGGTCAGCCTAGTGGCTAAGGCGTTCGCTCGTCACGAAGGCCCGGGTTCGATTCCCTACATGGGTACAAAATGCGTGAAGCCCATTTCTGGTGTCCATCGCCGTGATATTGCTAAAAGCGGAGTAAAACCTCACTCACTCACTCACTTTCCAGACCGCCGACATATAGCTGGAATATTGCTGAGTTCAGCGTTAAACAAAGAACATATGTATCGAACAGAGATCTGCCTTGTTGAGACTTCAGGGTTCAAAGTTACAGTAAATCACTTCGGGTTGTACCTATTCAGTAAATCATTCACAAGATCTGAGTTGTTTCTATTGTAATTCGCCTGAAACCTATGAGTGTGGGTTCGAATCCCGGTTCGCCCCTATTATGTTTCTAGGTTTGTCAGCACCATACTCGTGCTCGTGGGTTTCACCGAAGTGGTAAACGTCTGAGACCTGCATCACTTCGGGCTTTCCTCCCACATTAAGCTGATACGCCGTGATATAACTGGAATACTGTTAAAAGCGGCGTTAAACTCAACTCACTCACTCACTCTAATGTAACTGAGAAAGAACTGGGTCATGGTTCCCGCCATATGGCAGAAACCCATGGGACATATTGTTATTATCGATCACATCTCTCCGTACGGTGATTTACACCACGTTGGTTCGATTATTATAATTCGACAACCAGTGTTGACTTGGTTCAGCGTGGGTTATCCATTGTTAATCAAGCATAACGTAGGCCAGCACCCTGAATAAAACGGGGCGGTCGGGTAGCCTAGTGGTTCAAGCGTTCGCTCGTCACCCCGAAGACCCGGGTTCGATTCCCGACATGGGTACAATGTGTGAAGCCCATTTCTGGTGTCCTCCGCCGTGATATTGCTGGAATATTGCTAAAAGCGGCGTAAAACCATACTCACTCACTCACTGAATAAAACGCAACCTTTGATATAACACAAAATAGATGCCAGGAGACGGGAAAACACGACAGCCATGTGCTATAACACACCCCTGGGATGGGTTAACATGTGTTTTATTGCTTAACGAATCTACCATTGTACGTTTTCTATTTAATTCATGACGAGCGACAAGTCAGTTCTAAATAACGTGTTGAACATTAGACAGAGCACAAAGTCATCATCGAAGTTGCACAATTGCTATAACACACAACTATGAGATGATAACAAGTGTTGAGTAATACCCCGTTCACATGCACAACATTTACTAACGTAAGTAATTTTGCACATGTGTAACTATACATACATGTGTATATGTAAATTTAGTATGCGTTCGCATGAAAATCAACTTGTGTGTAAATAAAGTATTAAATTGTGTAAGGCACACATATTCGTCAGTCTGTTTAAGACTTTCAACACAAAACAGGTTGTTTTCCAATCAAAGTTGAATGAGAAGAGAGTTACTTCACCAAAACTTTTCGCGTGAAGCAACATGTGTTTGATTTAATTTGTACACAAAGTTTTGACTCATTGAAACCAAAAGAAAACACCGTCCGCTCAACTCTGTATATACGCATGAAGTTAACAACTGTTGACAATTTGTTTGGTGTTGGCAAAAGAACAGATATTAATTAGATTATCCTCTTACGTTAACATAAACGTTCACATGCAACATATACACACAGTGGAAATTTACATTTACTTTTGCACCTGCTCCAGACACGATGCAAATTTGGTGTAAATATACACCCATGAGTAAACGCGTTCGCATGACAAGTATACTCACCTCTTTTTTTTTATTACGTGGTTTGTATCGTTACCTATCGTGTAGTTGTCCGATTTTCGATCACGAACGTTGATACTACTTAATTTCGTTTATCCGACATAATCATATGCAACCAACGATGTCGGATTAACGGGACTTGACTGTATGTATTTCTACACACGTATGCATATATACACACATGTGAACGGGGTATAAGTATAGGCAATTTTGCTCAACCGAAGAATGAGTGAGTGAGTGAGTGAGTATGGTTTTACGCCGCTTTTAGCAATATTCCAGCAATATCACGGCGGGGGACACCAGAAATGGGCTTCACACATTGTACCCATGTCGGGATTCGAACCCGGGTCTTCGGCGTGACGAGCGAACGCTTTAACCACTAGGCTACCCGACCGCCCCTCAACCGAAGAATGACGCCAATCAGTAAACATGTGAACATTGGTTATACCATGGTCAACAGGGTTTCTTAGGTCGTCCTTGGTTAGGAAATCGTCCGCAAGCAGTGTTCAAGCAAAGGTTATAACTGAGAGAACTGAACGTGGAGTTGAGCTGTAAACGTATAGATGGAGAAGGGCTCCCTTGCCTTGGTTGTTCCAGTTAAGGTCACTGTGTCATTAGTGATTTGTGTCAAACCGAGACAGACCCGTGAATCTCTTGGGTGGAATAGGTCTTCGGAAACCCATGCTTGCCGCAAAAAGCGACTATGCTTGTCGTAAGAGGCGACTAACGGGGTCGGGTGGTCAGGCTCGCTGACTTGGTTGATGCATGTCATGGTATCCCAATTGAGTGG